CACTAATAGTAACAAAATTACCTCCACACTAGTAATAGAAAAAATATACATAAAGCTTATAATATATCAATTTTAAGGCTGCTAGAAAAAATAATCCTTATACTAAGGTTTAAGCAAAAAAATGAAAAAAGTAAACTCTTAAACTTGGATATTTAAGGATAAGGATTTTTAACTTTATATATCCCAAGATCTTTAACCAATTGGAAATGAAGTGCATTTTTATTTATAAGCATTTTCTCTATAAAGATGTTTAATTTCATGTATCCCAAATCCTTTAGCTAATTAAAAAAATATTAATGAATTATTTTTTAAATTGTTCTTTTTAATTGCACACAATTTATCATGTTTGGACCTATGGTGTAAGCTAATGCTAAAACTATTTTAACAATTTCAAAATTATTAACTAAATTGCTACAACAAAATAAGCACATAAGAAAACAAAAAGAAGTAATAAAAAAGGCTATAAGGAAAAAAAGAAGCAACAATAAAAAAGAAATAAATAATAGCTATCAAGAAAAATAAGAGGGAAAATAATAATAGCTAAAACATTTGAAGTGATAAAAAAGGAAAAATTTAAAAAATTTAAAAACAAAAAAGATAGAGAAGGAAGAGAAAACAATAAGAAAGAAAAAATATAAAAGAAAGAATAATAAAGTTCTAAAATCTTCAATCTTTTTTTTTATATATTTAAACTTTTATGAATCATGATTTAAATTATTCTTTTTAATTACTTACAATCCATTACACTGCCTTATAAGTTTACGTTTTTGTGAATAGAAGTTAAATGCAATCATCCTTTCGAAAGTTTAAACAATTCATCCCATAAACATTTAGCCCTAAAATAACATTATTTAATTTTATAAAGGTAGGATTTGCAGTTTTGACGCCTTTAAGTTTTTTAGTTGCCTTTGCATTTGGGCTAGGATCTCCTCCAGAAGGATTTTCTGCACAATAATTTAACATTAAAAGTTTAAAATATTTTATAATACCTTGTGTCGGGTTTCTTCATGTATGTGGATAATCATAAAATTAATTTAACATAAATTTCAAAATAATTATCATTATTTAATGATTTTGAAAAAGAAAGTTTTATATTGTGAGTATATAAAATATTTCATAATTATCAAAATCCCACTACACTAATAATAACATATATCTTTATATTTATACATCTAAATTTTATATCATCCCATCCTCTCAAAAAGATGAAAAGTATTTATAATTTTTTTTATTAATGTATTATATCTATAAAAGTATCATGAATGATTATAAAAAGGAGTGCATTTTTGTTCATAGACTTTTTTCCTTTATATTTAAACTTTTATAAATCATGATTTAAATCATTCTTTTTAATTACTTACAATCCATTACACCTCCTTACAAGTTTACACTTTTTTTAATAAAAGTTAAATGCAATCATCCCTTTGAAAGTTTAAACAATTTATCCTATCAAATCATTTATCTTTGAATGGTAAACACTTGCAAAAATATAATATATCCCCAACCAAAGTGTTAATATGTGAAATGTATTAATTATAAATACAGAAAAATTGTCCGAAAGAACCCTAGAATGTATAGTTAAATTTCTTTTATGGGAATTTTGAAGATTATGTGTATTATTGGTTTAATCACTTTATAAAACTACTACTTACCATTCTTAGATAATACCTGGGGTTTACATAAGTTTCCCACATATTTAATGGGATAATATTATAGTAGTATAATGGTATTTCTTCTTAAATCGAATAATATTCCAATATTTTTCTAATGCAAAGATTTATAATAAAAGTTGAAAGGGCTATACCACATGTTATAAATGCTACCATAATTAAGTCTAATTATTTAATTATAACTATATACAATTGAGGAATTATAGTAATTGTTGCTCCACAATCAAAACAAGCTACTACAAAGGTAGTATGCTACTCTAGAAGAAAAATGTCAAAAAAAAAGAAATGGAAAAATTATAAAAATAAAAAAAATCTAAATAATATGAAAAATTACATTTAAACTAAAATTACAAATTTAAGCAGTCCTCAAAAATAATTACCTTTATCTACATTAATGTGATTGGATGAAATATATATATATATTTCTAAGATCTTTCTTCATTTGAATTCTTCTGCCATAAAAATATATCAGCATGTTAATTTTGGTTTTCTTACCATTTTTTACCATGTTATACACTTGTATATATATCACAATAATATATTCAACCACGATCTTACTTCATTGGTGGTAAAAAATTAAAATTAACATGCTAATATATTTTTATGGCAGAAGAATTCAAAGGTAGAAAATCTTGTCCCAATTGGATCTCAGTCTTAGATCATTTTCTGGTAAGAATAGGAAGAAGAATGACGAGGAGGATGATAATGAGAAGGATTATCCCAATGCACGTCCACTTGCGGCTTCTCCTCTGCGATCTCTTGGCCTTGACCAGCTGCTGTGTTCCTCGATCCACAAAAGACGCTGCCTTGTTGACGTGCTCCTCGATTGTATTGAGCTGCGCGCCTTGTGCGTCCACTAGCGTCGCCAGATCCTGGAAGATCTGCTGTAGCTCTCTCAAATTCCTCTCCACTTCCACCACGGCATCGTGCCGCTCCTGAATCTCCTGGATCGTGTCCAGAATCTGCCCCCTCCCCTGCTCCTGGATAGCCTTCCGCAAGAAATTCTCGCTCTCCCCAGTCTGGATCATCCGCTCGATCACTTCCTGGCTCGCCTGCTCGCCCGTCACGGTAAAGTAGCGGCGCTCGATCGTCCCGCGGTACTCGCTGCTCATCCTCTCCCGCAAGTTCGCTAAATCGGCCATGAGGTCGCGGAGCTTGATCCGGAGGCTGTTGGTGATGGACATCCTGGTTCGATCGGTGGACGACCCCTCCTCGCAGCCCTTCACCTTCCTGTTGGCCAGATTGCTCGCGTCCAGCGCCTCGAGCTTGGATTTGATGCCGCGCCCGTTCTTGAGCACCAGGGAGACGTGCTCGTCCATGCGCGACCGGAGCTCTCTCATGGCTCCCGGCTTGTGGACGCTCTTGCTCGACTCATTGTCCTCGTTGAGCTTGAGGAGGAGCTCCTGGATCGCGTCCATGGCGTCCTTGATCTTGCTCACCTCCTCGAAAAAGCCCACCAGGCTCTTCTCCGAGTTGTGGACCGCCATCTCCACGTCCAAGGGGTTGGCCTCCATGTCGGATCCCCGAGGGAAGGAACTCGATAGCAAATTATTCATCCCTTACGTTTCCAATCGCCGCATTGATCGATTGATCGATAATCTTTTGAGACTTTTCCTCTCTACCTGTATCAGCGCCCTTCCTTTCTCCTCCCCACGAAGAACTTTTCCAGATAGAGACGAAGAACCCTTTAGAATATTCGCATCATTTACTATTCCTCGTTACTATTTGTTTTTTCCGGAAGTCGTCTTGCAAGACTTTTATTTTCTGATCTTGCCAAGGTACTTCCAGAAGATTTCGTAAGAAACAGCTAAAACCGACATAACCTTTGGAACAGGGGAATAAACACAAGAATTACTCCGCAAACGATATAAGAGCGAAAACATCGAAAAATCTCTCAATTACAAACCTCGTGGTTAACAATTTCTGTTTTCGACAATGCTTTGCTAGTCAGTCTTGTGTTGTTGAGCTAGTCGAGCTTTGTGCTTAAGCTCCGCTCGTTTCCACTTCACCATCAGCCTTACCATCTGCAAGAGACTATTCACCTGCAAGCAAAAAAAAAAAAAAAGAAACGATCAGAGATGAAAGAAAGAAAGAGATTTGGATTTGGAAGAGGCTCTCACCAGAATCACCATTGATGTCACAAGCAGCGGGCCGGACCACAGAGTGGAGATGAACACGCCGCGCTTGTCAAAGTAAGGCTGCCGAGAAAACTTCTGCCAGTGGCGAGCCAGGAAAGAATTGATCGTTTGCGCAAGGTAGATTCCAAACACTGGGAGAAGTTGCGAAAATGGATCAAACGAAACAATGCGAGATCGAAAGAAAAGGTTTTTTTCTCACTCGAGAGGAAGAAGATGGCCATTTGCAAATCGGTGTTTCTCCTTGTCCATAGAATAAACACGAGAAGAAACAAATGAAAGGCCACTAGCGCACCAATCCAAGGCTCCTGTAAGCCCAAAGTCTAGAGAGAAAAATCAAAGACTAGAATCTCTCTTACAGTCCAATCCACGGCGTGAACGAAGGCGAGCACCGGCTCGACGAATCCCCGCGGAGAAGACGAGCGAAACTTCCCCAAGATCTCCTCGAGCGCTTCCACTAAAACCTCCATTGCCGTTAAGCCCTAAATTCTAGACACATTTTTAGGGTTCTTGGGGGTTCTTGAGGAGAATTACACAGTTTACATGGAAGCGAGGCACGAGCGAAGGGATTTGGCTTCCTCCTGGTGCCGGAGACGTTCCAAGGCGCTCGCCTCGTACCTCCTCACCATCTCCTGCGACATGTTTAGCCTTCTTCCCACCTCTCGCAGCGATTTCACCGCAAGAGCTCCATCTTCCAGCCCGTATCGGTGCTGCAACACCATCCTCTCCTTGTCTTTCAATCGCTGGAGCTGCAAGTTTTCCAATCGAGTTAGATACTTGAGAGGAGATTCTTGCTGCTTGCTTGCTTACCGCTGTGACGATTTCTTCTCGGACCTCCGAGCTCTCCGAGACAATGTCGCCGGTCTCTGGCAAGTACTCGAGAAACTCCTCGTCGGTGCCTCGCACAGTCTCGTTGAGCGAGCGAACTCGAAAGTTGCTGTAGTAGTATATGTTCCAGAACTGGACTGGATCCAATCCAGTCCTCTCCATCACTTCCTCGTCGCTGGGATTTCTCCCCAGCTCCACCCGGAGCTCTCGTCTCGCCTTTCGGATCTCCACCTTTTTCTGGAGAAGCAAACCACGATTCAGTCTCGCAAGCAAGAGAAAACAGAGAAAAAAAGAGATGTATCTGTTGTTACCGCTGCGAAGCTGAAAGGCAGGCGAATCACTTGACCAGTTCTCGTGATGGCTCTCACTATCGCGGTTCGTATCCAAAAGATAGCGTACGTGGAGAAGCGAGTACCTTTGCCGGGATTGAAGTGATCCATAGCATCAATCAGACCTTTGACACCTTCTTGACACAAATCTTCCAGAGAGAAACTCCCCGCGTCACGCTCGTATCTTCTAGCCAAGAACAGCACCAGCCGGCAGTTGTGCTGGAGAAAGAAGAAAGAAATAAGAAAGAGTTAAGATGATCGATCGAGAAGAACTTGCCTCGATCAACTTGTTTTGCGCGGCTTCGCCGAGTTGGAGCCGGCGTCGCAAGGTTCTAAAGTCCGTATTTGCTGTCGTAGCCCACTCGTCGTCGCTGGGCTCTCTACGTAGAACTCGTCGTAGCTCACTTCTTACTTGGTGTAAGTGCTGTGAAGAAGAACAAATATAAGCTGCGAAGAACCGAAAGAGAGAGAATACCTTCACTGGAGTCAGGAGCTCCACTAGCTCGATTTCTTCTTGCGATGTCAAGTAGCGGTGATGGAGATTTCGCCAATCCACTGGCTTGACACCAAACGACGATCGTATGAGCTCCTCGGATTCATCCGACCAAAGATCCCCTCCATTTGACGGTGTGCTCGATGATCCTCCAGTAGCTCGATCGGTCCTCTTCCTTGAAACCCTATCTCCCCTCTTCGCAAATCCCTCCTCGCTGCCATCGGGACCACTGGTACTGACCTGATTGAAAGCGTCCTCCAGCGCAGCCACCGCATTCTTGATCTGCCGCGCCGGCCCGGCCTGATAATCCGCGGCCTCGATCGATTGCGAGGAGCGCGTCAATCCAGCAGCACCAATCTTGGAGACCCGCCGCCGCCGCCGACGCTGCTTGCTCTGATTAAGCTCTAGATCGTTAGATACCTCCAGAAATCTACCTGGCGCGAGGAGCTTGGACCGCGATTCCAGAAAGCTGGAAGGAGAAGGGTGTAGCCATAGCCCCATTCTCTCCATTGCTCACACTTCCCTCTTTTCTCTCGAAACCACAAGAGCAGAACTATTCCCGGTATATTCTCTCCTCAATAGCCACGTGGCAAACTCCAAACCTCAATTTTAGCGGGGAAATTTAGGGCTCTTCGTTACCTTTAAACTTCCCTATGGCTGCGATTTGGCAGTGTGTTTTCTTTGACGTTCTAGAAAGCGCATGACAATCCAGACAAGTTATCCATAGCCATGCACGATTGGACGTGAAAGGAAGCCTAGAAAAAGGTGACGGACCAACTACCAACCCCATAAAATAGTTGAAGAAAAAAAATGTTCAAAGGAAGGTAGTGGTTACACGTTTTGGATTTCATTGTCCACATTCGTGCAGACAGGGCTTGTGAGACTACTGTTGTGGAAGATGAAAAGCCAACTTTGTGATAAGCTAATGTTTTCGTAAAGTTTAATGTTCAATAAATCATAAAAACGCCATGTGATCCTCCAGAAGAAGTTCCCGAAATTCATACAAAACAACAAACAAACACCAAAGAGGTCTCTTCCGGAATCCACCGCCAAACAGGCACCAAACTAAAGCAAGAAAAGACACCAAAACCAGCTTTTTTTTTTAGAATCTCGAGCTGTGGAGGTTGTGGCCATCGCGATTTCTGGCAATCGTGCAACAGATTCAACGGCAACAAAAGCTATGCGAGGGTTTTGCATTGGTTGTTTGTAATTTGTAATAACTTGGCCCGAGAGCGGGTCGTTTTTTTCAACGGAAGCATGTGTTGGTTTGTGTGTCATGCTTTTAGTGTGCCCTTCATGAAATCGGTTGGAAAAAAAAAAAAAACTGTAGATAGCTGCGACGGTTTGATTTGATCTTACTCCTCCCACTTCTCGGCAGTTGATTTATCCTACCAAAATTTAATAAAAAGGAACAAAATAAAAAAGGAGAAAGCGAGCTGCAAGGCAGCTTTATTATTTACATCTCTTGAAAAAAAGCAGCAGTGAAGCAGAGCAGTGCACATTGTTGCTATAAGTGCACTTGCACTTGCACTTGAAATTTACAGGCATTATAAATTCGAGTCCTTGCCTTGGAGGTGGAGCAAGCAGGCAGCAGCATCAAAACGAAGTTTTTCGTGTTCCTGCTGTGGAGGAACCAATTGTTCCTCATCTCTTTTCTCTGATCAGGGGGAAAGAGCCTCTTTTTTCTTCTTGTTAGTCAGTTGGTCATTACCAAGAAAAAACTTTGAGAGAACTTTGAATTTCTGATAGTTTTTGTTTGTGAGATGGCTACTATGTCTGCTGCTTTGCTGCTGCTTGCTGCCTTGAGTGGCTGCACTTTCGATTTGGCTCAAGCCACTCCAGTGAAGAAGGATGAAATGATCAAATGGGAACCAGCCACTGCAACATGGTATGGAAGTCCCAATGGAGCTGGAACTGATGGTACAATGCAATCACACCCAATAACAAATTTATTGAGAATTGTACAATCATCAGGAAATGATTTCTAAGAAAGAACTAGAAGAGTGTGTCGAGTTAGAATGTTATAACTCGTGATTTTTCTCAATGCTTTCTTTCTTTTCTTTTTTTGAAGGTGGAGCTTGTGGATATGGAAGCCTGCCCAACACACCCTATGGCTCAGATGTAGGTGCTGGGAGCCCAATTCTTTTCATGAATGGAATTGGCTGTGGAACTTGTTTTGAGGTAATCTATCATGAGTTTCTTCGCTCTTCTTTCTTTCTCTGTTTTTTCAAGTTTCCCTGTAGTATCAATCTATTGAATGCATCAAATCAATCGATCATTCTCATGACAATGTGGCTATCCAAATCCATGTAGGTGAAGTGCGTCGACGGGCAGCTCTGCTCGCCTCAGCCCGTCAACGTGGTCATCACTGACGAGTGTCCCGGAGGCTACTGCTCGGGAGGAAGAACACACTTTGATCTCAGTGGCACTGCCTTTGGAAAGATGGCCAGCGGCAGCGCAAACATCCAGCACCTCCTCGCCGCGGGAGTTCTCAATGTTCTCTACAGACGGTAAGCCTGACTCTGAGATTATTCCTGGAATATTTGAGGAATCTCTTCCCAATTTCAGTGCTCCATGCATCTACAAGAGCCAGGGCGTCGTGTTCCAGGTCGCCGATGGCTCCACACCCTTTTGGTTTGAGACAGTTATCAGATATCTGGATGGTCCGGGAGATCTCGCGACAGTCGAGCTCCAACAGGTAATCACCTTTTGCAAAGAAATTCCAAAGTTTTTGGCAAAGAGATTGAGAACTAATGGAACTTTTGTAGTTTGGGTCTTCTGCTTGGCAGCCGATGAGCCAAGTTTGGGGGGCAAACTGGTGCCTGAACGCAGGTGGCGGCACGCCTTTGAGAGCTCCATTTTCGATTCGGCTCACGGCACTTCAAACCGGAGAGAAGATTATCGCCCACAATGTCATTCCTGCGAATTGGGCACCCCAACACAGCTATTCCACTGGTGTCAACTTTGACACGCGCAATTATTGACGAGAGTACTCAGGGGCTTCTGTAGTGTGTGAAAAAATGCCACACTCGGGCCAATGAAAATTTAAATAAAAGTTTGAAAAGAAGTGTCACTCGTTTCTCCAGATGCATGTTTCATGCCCTATGACAATTTGCCCAGTCTTAGATGGTTCAATGCACAAAACATACAGAAGTCCACACTGTCCAAAATTTTAGTTGTTGGTCCAGATAGCTTTTCGATTTTCATCATAAACTACAAGGTTGCAGTCTAATTGTAACCTTAAGTAACATCTTTTTACCAATCCCCAAGATAAAGTACAAAGTTACAATCGGTTTGCATCTGGAGAAAGTAAGATCCATCTGGAGGTTCAAGATAACCATCAGCGTCAATACGTGAGATATCTGCATCATCACCCGCACTTCGCAAGCAAGACTTATAAACCAACAATCAGGTATATGTTCATCACCAGGATAATCTTTAAGCTCCATAACACTCTGAGCTTGTGGATTATCAAGGCTTGTAGTGATCTCGCAACAGATTTTGAATATGATGCTTCCTCATACACAGTGTGCCTGATCAAGATCCCGTTAGTACCGTAGTTTAGAATTGCGATGGGGTGGTTGCAAGAACATTAAAAAGCCCATCATCAGCCTTGTGCCAAGCCTCTGGACAAGCCCCAGCGATGGAAAAAATGTACCCAAGAGAAACTCCCCGAAAGGACTCATCGACGTTTCGGAGACAATGAGGGTTATGGAGACCTTGCGGCCTTCGACTTCCATGCTATCTGCGAATGTTAGCCCAACCGAATACATCTGGAACCTGGAGATGTTCTTGATGATTTTCACAATGCCTTATGGATTTTTTCGGAATAGCCAGTGAAACACATCTGGTGAAGATTAGCTAGAGCAACAACAGTAGCAGTGGTTCTCATTGTCTTTTGATCCTAGACTTGTACAAGAAGAGAGCCATTTTCTATACCTCTCTCTTTCTTAATGTCTTCCATTCTGCCGAGAAAGTCTGTTGCCAATGTTGGATTATAAAAGAAAAACGAGGGACTTTATGGCAGCTGCCAGGTGGCATTTTGTAACTGTGCCACGTGTAATAAAGACCTTGAACGCCACGTCAGAAGGTTGACCTTGTTTTTAAAAATGTGAGTGAGCCCTAGCACAGGAAACACCACAGGGCGGCTTTTTGTCTCGCCATGGCGAGCTTGGCACACCAATGCGCGTCTCGTCTCGATTGTAGATCCAGGATCGAGCGAATCGGCGCCCTTTCTAGCATCCCTGGAGCTAATCCAAGCAGGATCGCAAGAACCAGGGGGCGGATCTGTGGAGCGATCGCCAGCAGCGGCACCGGTGGCGCTTCCGCTGCCCTTAGGGAGAAGCCGGCGCTCGAGATGGAGGCTAGCGCGCTGTGGGAGAGGTATGTGGAGTGGCTCTACCAGCACAAGGAGCTCGGCTTGTACGTGGATGTGAGCCGGATGGGATTTAGCGATGGCTTTGTCATAGCGATGGAGGAGAGGTTTGCAAAGGCTTTCAAGGACATGGAGAAGCTCGAAGGCGGTGGTATCTCCAATCCGGACGAGAAAAGAATGGTTGGCCACTACTGGCTGAGAAACTCCGAGCTTGCTCCAAGCTACTATCTGAAGAAGCAAATCGATGAGACGCTCGAGGGAGTGAAGGCTTTCGCTGGAGATGTTATCAGCGGTAAGGTAAAGCTTCTTTGATCGATCCATCGATCGAGTTCTTTCGTACACGTTCTTCTAGTTCTCATACTGTGATCTTTACTTTGCGAGCAGATCAAGCCACCACCATGCCCAGCGGGAAAATTCACGCATGTTTTGTCGATTGGAATTGGAGGCTCCGCGTTAGGACCTCAGTTTGTGGCCGAAGCCTTGGCACCTGATAATCCTCCTCTTGAGGTGATTAATTTGTAAAGCTCGGTTTTTATTTTTATTTTATTTCTTTTTATTTCTTTATTTTTTTTGCTAGTGCTTGACTTTGTTTCGCTGCACAGATCAGGTTCATTGATAATACCGATCCCGCTGGTATCGATCACCAAATTTCTCAGCTCGGTGCCAAGTTATCGTCTACTTTAGTGATTGTTATCTCGAAGGTATACTAGATGTTTTTCCAGTTTAGAAGTTTCCTTTTTACTTTATTGCATGTATTCTTCTTGCATACAGAGTGGTGGTACTCCAGAGACACGCAATGGCTTGTTGGAAGTCCAGAAGGCTTTCCGGGAGAAGGGACTTGACTTTCCAAAGCAGGCTGTGGCGATCACTCAAGAAAAATCCTTGCTTGACACCACCGCTCGCAGTGAGGGCTGGCTTGCAAGGTTTCCAATGTTCGACTGGGTTGGGGGGAGAACTTCTGAATTATCAGCCGTGGGACTTCTTCCAGCTGCGCTTCAGGTGCGTGTTGAAGTTTAACTTGATAGCGTGCTAGCGTGGTCGTTTCTTTTCAGGGCATCAACGTGGACGATATGCTTTATGGTGCGGCATTGATGGACAAGGCCACGAGAAAGCAATCGGTGAGCTCTTTTAGTATTTTCTCCATGCAAACTTATTTTGTTTCTGTTTTGCTGTGTTTTTAGATTAAAGAGAACCCCGCTGCTTTGCTAGCACTT